AGTTGTTTAATGTCTAAAAACACTTGTTTTAAATATTTGTATACTTTTCTAGCTCTTCACGGTAGGAGAGCAGGTCTTTTAGCAGTTATCTCTCGTGTAGAAGCTGAATTCTCTTACTTAGTTTTAATTGCTTTTGAACTTTTTCTTTCAAAAACATGTTCTGGCTGGGCGCAGTAGCTCACGCCTGTAATCCTAGCTCTCTGGGAGGCTGAGGCGGGCGGATTGCTTGAGGTCAGGAGTTCAAAACCAGCCTGAGCAACCTTTCTACTATAAATAGAAAGAAATTAATTGGCCAACTAATATATATAGAAAAAATTAGCTGGGCATGGTGGCGCATGCCTGTAGTCCCAGCTACTCAGGAGGCTGAGGAAGCAGGATTGCTTGAGCCCAGGAGTTTGAGGTGCTGTGAGCTAGGCTGACGCCATGACATTCACTCTAGCATGGGCAAAAAAGCGAGACTCTGTCTTAAAATAAATAAATAAATAAAATTAAAAAATAAAAATACAAAAGACAAGTTCTATATACTCTTGCATTTTTCATTCAGCATTATTTTACTATTAGTAAGTTTCATGTTGTTCCATATAGCTACAATTCATTCTTTTTCAATGCTTTGTTATATTTTACTATGTGTTTATACTGCTATTAATTTTTCCATTCTCCTGTTAATGGGCATTTGACTTCTTTATGGTCTTTTGTCTTAAGGACATCTGTGCTATAAATATTTTTGTATGTGTCTCTTGACATATATCTAGGAGTGGAATTACTGTGTCATAAAATGTGAATGTTCAACTTTTTTAAAAGATAATCTTAAAAAAATGTAATGCTAAATTGTTTTCCAAAGTGACTATGTAAATTTACACTCCTGTCAGCAGTGCATAAGAGATCCTGTTGATCTGTATCTTCTCCAGTTCATGATACTGTCAGATTTAATTTTTGTCAATCTAGTGGGTATGTATAAAATATCTTATTTTGGTCTTGATTTGCATTTCTCTGAGTGCTAGTAAAGTTGAAAATCTGTGTACTTGTTTATGGGCAACACACTTTTTTTCCTCTGGCTTTTGACCTAGTCAGGATATTAGTGGTTCTAAGTACAGAGCTAGAACTTAGAGGAATAAAAGGAAAAGCCAGTTTTTGTTTGTTGTTTGTTTTGTTTTGTTTGGAATACCTAGATGTTCATAGATAAATCTTCCTTTTATCTTTCAAAGTATAGTATCCATGTAGTTATACCTTATAAATACTTAGGCATTCAACAGAAAAAATACTACATGTGTTTCTCTCAAAATTAGAAGTGTATGTTTTGGTATGTTTTTGAAGAATTTGACTTTTTGTACTTTGTAGAAAATATTTTAATAATTAAAAATGGAACCCTCTGCTTTTGAGTATTTCAGGAGATAGGACCTTAATTTGAGTACCTTGTTCTAAGGAATCAAGTACAAATGATGTTGGAGTTTCTTAGGGAACTCCAATAATGGCACCTTTCTTTACTAGTTTGGTTTTGAACCAGTAGAGAAATAAAACAAGGACTAAGATAGGTGGAGACCAAGGTATCATCTTTCTTACCAATAAAGTCTAGGTTAGGAGACTTGATTATATCTGTCTGCAAGCAAATACATTTCCTGTTGAACTTCAGAATTAGACAGATTTACATGCCTATTGTAGCCAAGGTTGGACTGAGGAGGTACATAGGAGTGTACGGGGAGCACTTGACCCTATTGAGCAGTAGTGGATTCCCAGGAAGAGATTATCTCCCAAGAGAAAGAAGGGAAATGCTCAATGGAGTCTGTTTTGTTTGTTCTTCCTAAATTATCAGTCAGATTGGTAAATCAGTCGACCTCTCTTGGTATATATGTTCTGAGAAAAGAGGCAGCAGGAGGCCAAGCACATTAAATTAATTGAGCTGCCTTCACATAGAATGGGGGAGATGTGTTCATCTACTAACAAATAAATATGCCATTTTATTAGTACATATTTATTATCATCCAAATATCTAGCACTGTGCTTGGTTTTTTGTAGTAAAACATAAATATTAGATGGGATCCCTGCCTGTTGAGAGTTAACAGTATGTTTATAGAGAAATTATTTATACATATAATAAAAATAGCTCATTTATATAGCTCTTTATAATTATTAATATAATTTACTTTGTACAAATCATTGTTATTCTCATTTTAATGACAAGGAAACTAAGGCTCAATAAAATGATGCAGCTTGTCCATGACCACACAATGGGACTTGAGTCAGGTATTCTGACTCCAGATCCTTCTTTTTTCCTGCTCCATCATTCAGCTTTCCTAGAAGAAAGTGCTTACTGTGTGAGACAGTATGAGGTAGATTCCTCAGACATGCAGTAAAGACCAGAGTAGTTGAGACAAGGAAATCTCAACAAATTTGGAAGGGCATATCAGGAAGGCTTCATGTAGCAGAGTGGACTTGACTTCCTTTTTTTCTTTCTTTTTTTCTTTTTTTTTTGTCACCTAGGCTGGAGTGCAGTGGCCTCAGTATAGCTCACTGCAACCTCGAATTCCTGGGCTCAGGTGATCCTCCTGCCTCAGCCTTCCGAGTAGCTGGGAATACAGGCATGTTCCACCACACCTAGCTCATTTTTCTATTTTTTGTAGAGATGGGTCTTGCTCTAGCTCAGGCTGGTCTCAAACTCCTGGCTTCATGTGATCTTCTCGCCTCAGCCTCCCAAAGTGCTAGGAATACAGATATGAGCCATCATGCCTGGCCTCAAACTACTTCTTGAAGGGTAGATTACAATAGATCCCCCTTAGTTTCAAGGTGTACATTCCAAGACTCCACGTGGATGCCTGAAACTGTGGCTAGTACTAAGCCCCGCATAACCGACCTTTGAATAACACTGGTCTGAACTGTGTGGGTACACCTATATGTGGATTTTCTTCCATGTATAACATGCCTGTGACAGCAAGACCAACTCCTCCTCATGATTTTCTTAATAGCACTTTCTTTTTTCCAGCTTATTTTATTGTAAGAATACAGTATATATTACATATAACGTACAAAATGAGTGTTAATTGATTTGTTTATGTTATCAGTAAGGCTTCTGGTCAACAGTCGGCTATTAGTAGGTAAGTTTTTGGGGAGTCAGAAGTTGTACTCAGATTTTCAACTGCCCAGAGGTCAACTGTATATATTGTTATTTCTTTTTTTTTTAATATATTTTAAATATATTTAAATTACTTTAAACTTTTTTCTTTTCTCTTTTTTAGACCCTTATGACATAACCCAATATATTGTTATTTCTAAAAATACATTTCTATACATACATACCTATGATAAAGTTTAACTTATAGGCATAATAGGCATAGTAAAAGATGAATAATAATAACTGATAATTAAAATAGAGTAGTTGTAACAATATACTGTAATAAAAATTATGTGAATGCGGTTTCTTGGGATTGTTCTGTACTCGCCGTTATTATTCTTGTGATAATGTGAGATGATTCAATGCCTACATGGTGAGATGAAGTAAGCTGATTATTGCCGAAGGCATTGTGATGTAGTGTTAGGCTACTGTTTACCTTCTGTATTCCTGAATCTGTGTAACCATCCCCTACTTGCAGTAAATGGCTTGGTGTCACTTATTTCAGGGCATCCCTTGCTCAATGCTTTCTGGTGCAACATGCTGCTGTCAGTTGTTCATGTCTTCCACCCACAAATTTAATGCCTTTTCCATCTTAACTAACCAGTTACTGTGCACTGTGGCCATCACTTGTGCAGTATGAGGCACAACAGCAAAACTAGCACAAATTTCCTTTTCCTTCTTCACAATTTCACAGATGGAAGATTTGTTCCTTTTTTTTTTTTTCCAGCATATTATGGGGGTACAGATTTTAAGGTTTCAATAAATGCCCATTTCCCCCCACAAGTCTGAGTCTCCAGCATGACCATCCCCCAGATGGTGCACGTGGAAGATTTGTTCTTATCTTAGCAACCTCAGCATATGATTTATTCCCCTGATGTCAAGAACTTTCACTTTTTCACTTACATTATGGTTCCTCTTTGGCCTGTCCAAATTCCCAGCATCATTACTCTTGTTCTTTGGGGCCATTAAGTAAAATAAAGGTTCCTTGAACACAGGCACTGAAACACATCGACATTGGTCTGATAACTCAGACAGCTGATAAGTGACTAACGTGCAAGGAGCATCTACAGTGTGGAGACACTAGAAAAAGGGATGATCCATGTCCCAGGTGCAAGGGAGCAGGATGGCTCGAGATTTCATGACACTACTTAGGATAGTGTGTAATTTAAGATGTTTGAGTTTTTTATTTCTGGAATTTTCCATTTAATATTTTTGGACTGCAGTTGACTGTGGGTAACTGAAACTTCAAATAATGGGTAGACTACTGTATAGATAAGTCAAGAACATGTGAGAATATGTCCAGTCAGAGGCAAAGGATCAGTGGGAGGTGGGGTATGAGAGGATTCTAAGGTGACTTGCCTGGCTGTACCACATGGTCAATGTTGGGCAACTGTGTGGAGAAAGCATGAATGAATTGGTGGTATAGATTTTTAAAATTTGGGAGGTTTGGAAGAGAAAGTGTATGTCTCCTATGGCAGACATTGGGGAGCCATTGAAAGCTCTTAAGTTGAGGAATAACATGATTAAAACAGTGTTTTATCTACATTTTCATGTCCTTTATGTAGTTCCTATTCATTTGGCCTATTTATAAACTTTTTGGTAAAAAATCTTTCAATCTTATTTTCTGAATTTAGTATATCATCTATTATTAATCCAAGAAATGCTGCCTTTTCTTTTTCTATTCTCTAAATTAAGTCCTCTTTTTCTTTGCTGTATTCTATTTGCTGCTACTCTAGTATTTTATAATTTTAATTTGAGCAACTGTCTCTTTGCCACTTTAGAAACAGTATATAAGTAATCTGTCACTTCTATGTTTCATTCATGGTTTTATTTCTTTCTATTTTCCTCTTGAACAAAGCTTAAGAAATAACCAGTTTCCGTCTTTATTTTTCAGGTCCTTTCTCGAGCACAAAACCTCTATGAACTATATGCTGGCAACGCGCCTCTTCCAGGACAGGTGAGGATTTGGTAAACTTAGAAATTTAGGACTAGATCATAAGATTAGGAGAAAGTACCTGCAGAAGAAGGGAAGAGGCTTCATAAAAATATTCATGTAAAATCTCTGATGGAAAAGTCCTCCAGAAAATATGAAATAATGCCTAATTTTTCCAGAATTTATCATTAACTCTCAGCACTTTGTAACATTTCCAAAAACTAAAAATTAAACCCTAAAGATCTGTGAGCAATCTTCAGAGATGCCTTAAATGTTATTCTTCAAGGAAGGCTCTTAGTGCCTTTATACTTTAGATGCAATTTTAACAGACATAATTATCTGTTTTTCTAGACCAGAAGAGATTAGAACTATCAGATTAGAAAAAGTGGAGGGGAGGTAATTCACAAAATACACTGAGACTTGTAAGAAATAACAACTGATAATCTCAATAAATGATGGAAAACAGACATTGGCATTTAAATAGCACAGCAGTCACAGACTACTTAGTCTTGCATACTTTTGTAGCCCCTGTGACCTAACCACGTTGCAGTACAGTTGCAGTACAGTTCCTTAATTGATTGTTAAAATAAGACACCCTAGTTATTTAGAGGAACTTAGTATTATTTTGAGAATATATAAGCTTTTTTCAAGGATTCTTAAAATAGATACCCAGATTTCAACCATTTCTTGCAATTTCATGATCTATTATCGTAAATAATGGGATTTACAGTTTCTCTTTGTAAATGTGTAGTAATTACCATTGATTAAGTAATCATATTGTGTAGCTTCTAATCCCCCTATCTGAAAACTTTGGCAAGGTTTCTTTATCTTTAGAGTTGAGCTACTTTGCCAGAATGTGTCTGCTATGTCATTTTTCATTATTTTAGTTTTGCAGTGGGTGAGTCCTTTCAGTCTAAACATGTAAGTCTTTAACTGTGGGAAATGTTCCCTTTATTCTTTCTTTTCTCTCCTTGTGGAACTCCTATTAGATAAATTTTGGCTATATCCTCCATATTTCTTTACTGTTTTGACACTTTTGATCTCATGTCTTTAAATTCTTAGAGATTTCTTGAATTTTGTCTTCTAAAACTCTAAATCAGTCTTCAGCCTTGTCTATTTTGTTATTTATTACCAGTGCAGGAGAGGGTTGTTTGATTTATGTTTTTTATGTTTGTTTTGTTTTGTTTTTCAAGACAGAATCTTACTCTGTCACCCAGGCTAGAGTGTCATAGTGTCAGCCTAGCTTGCAGCAACCTCAAACTCCTGGGCTCAAGTGATCTTCCTGCCTCAGCCTCCTGTGTAGCTGGGACTACAGGCACGTGCCACTACGCCCAGCTAATTTTTTCTATTTTTAATAGGGTCAGGGTCTTGTTCTTGCTCAGGCTAGTCTCAAACTCCTGATCTCCTGTGATCTTCCCGCCTTAGCCTCTCAGAGTGCTAGGATCACAGGCGTGAGCCACCACGCCCGGCCTGATTTGCTTTTTTATTTTGGCAAGCGTGATTTTAATATCCAAGAACTATTTTTGCTTTTTGTCTTCTTTTTTTTAAGACAGAGTCTCACTTTGTTGCCCAGGCTAGAGTGAGTGCCATGGCATTAGCCTAGCTCACAGCAACCTCAAACTCCTGGACTCAAACAATTCTCCTGCTTCAGCCTCCCGAGTAGCTGGGACTACAGGCATGCACCACCATGCCCGGCTAATTTTTTCTATATATATTTTTAGTTGGTCAATTAATTTCTTTCTATTTTTAGTAGAGATGGGGTCTAGCTCTTGCTCAGGCTGGTTTCGAACTCCTGACCTCGAGCAATCCACCTGCCTCGGCCTCCCAGAGTGCTAGAATTACAGGCATGAGTCACCGCACCCAGCCTATTTTTGCTTTTTGATTAGTTTTCATATTTTATGGATGTGATGTCTTTTCAAATCTCTTTATGTTGATTAGTTTGTTTAAAGTTCCTTTATGTTTTTTGCATTATTTTAATTCTTCTGTATTAGTTCTGTTTGTTCATCTTATTCTTTCTTGTTTTTATTATAACATATCTGCATTGGTGATCTTGGATTATCCAGTCATATTTAGTAGTAATGGACCATTTGCTTAAAATAGGTAGTTTGCATGGGTTTTTTAACATCTCGTATAGGTCTGTTTCTGAACTGACATGGATTCTGTGCTTAAGGCTGGATCTTTCCATACTTGTATTTTCTGTGAGGGGGAAGGAGAGCAGAGCAGGCAATTTGGAGACTACCATATTGGCCAAAATTATGAAGTATTCACATAGGAGTAGCATAACAATAAAAAATTTGAGATATAATAATATATGTGCTTCTTTATTAGTACATTAAATAATAAGACCCAGCAGTAGGTCTAATAACTACCATGATTTTCAAAGAATGATAACTATTGACAGCATTTTGAGATACTTGTAACAGTTCTAAAGTAATATGAAAAAATATGTTATTTCTTTTGGTAATGAAGTCATGCTAAACTGTTTTGTGGATGGTTTCCTATATTTATGTGGAGGAAATGCTAAATTTCAATTAGGGAATGTAATTTTTTTCCCATCCAAGTTAGTGTACTCCCTACATACTTTCTTTAGGCCCAGTTAACAACCCTTGTTTTTAGAGCATTCTAAAATCTTTGATTAAAAAAAAAACCCATAAATTTCCCTGTTTAGCATGAAAGGCCCTCATGATCTATTCTTACCTACCTTTTTAGCCTAATCTCCACTTTTCCACTCCAGCCCATGGCCAATCAGACCATATCTACTTGTTCTTTTATACCTCCTTATCCTTACAAACTCCCCTTTCTTTGGAATGGATTTCAGTTCATCCCTAAATTCTTATAACTATGTCATTTCTCCTCTGACCTAGACTAGGAGGTACTCCCAGCCCTTCTTTTATCCCTCAGTCTGATTGAGACTCCTAGGTTATATTATAATTGCCTGTTTACTAACTTGTACTTTACAAGTTGGCTCTTAAGAGCAGGTATTTTGTTTTGCTTATCTTTGTCAGTATTAAGAACCTACCACATGGCAGACACACACAAACACATGCATTGAAAAAATAAAATTGTGTTTGTTGCAAGCCTTAATAGTTTCTAGTAAATTAATTCTCTTCAATCGGAATTGATGTTTTCCCCTTGCAAATCTAATTGTGTTATTGTCAGAACCACTGTCAAACTAATTCTATACTCATTTCATTTGTTTCAGGTTAATTTTTTCTACCTTCCTTACCCTCTCAATTCCTCCCCTGTACCCATCCTGCCCTGGCAAACAGTATCTTACACTGTGGCAGTAGTTTTAATGCTGCCTGTATATTAGTAACACCTGGGGATCTAGCAAATCATATTTATGCCCTGGTCACCTTTCTTCCCCAGAGTGAAGTATTGGTACTTATTAAAAGCTGCCCAGGTGATTGTAATGTGAAGCCATGATTGCAGATTGCTGGAGAAAACTATTATCTGGGTGAAAAAGTTAAAATCATCTTGAAACTTTCTGATGATAATGTGACAATATCAGGACATTAGATTGGTAGAAGACATGGGAAAGGAAAGACAAGACATCTTGATGAAGACTTAACCTTTTCACTCAATTTGTTTATAGTTACAATCTAAATTGCACTTGTCTCTTTATAAAAAAACAATGCCAACGGTTACATGTCATGTAATTCTATTTACATAACATTGTTGAAATGACAAAATTTTAGACTGGAAAACAGATTAATGGGGCAGAGGATAGGTAGGAGGTGTGTATGGTTATGAAAGGGCAGCATGGAGGATACTTGGGGAGTGACATAATTACTTAGTATCTTATCTGTGGTAGTGGATACATGAACCTACACAGGTGATAAAATTGTACTGATCCAAATAAACACATACACAAATGAGTACAAGTAGAACTGGGGAAATAAAAAAAAGGTGTTAAGTGAAAGGAAATTGAATGAGGAGAGAATGTTTTAAAAGGAAAACAAAAGCCTATTTAAACATAAATAACACTTGATTCGTGTGGTTAGAGCCCAACCCTAGGTTAGAGGCAATGGGAAATATCTTTTTTTATAGAGATTTTCTTTTTTAATTGTGGAAAATCCATTTCTGATGAGCATAGTTTTTTCTTTAAATTTTATTTTATTTCAGAGTATTATGAGAGTACAAACATTTTGGTTGCATAAATTGCTTTTGTGCAGTTTGAGTCAAAGTTGTAAGTATGCCTATTACCCAAATGGTGTACATTGTACCCATTAGGTGTGAATTTACTCATCCTCTCCTCCAGCCTCCCACCTGCTTGATTTCTGATCAGTTTTATTTCCATATATGCATCCTTTTTGAACTCCGTAAGACTTGAGCTTGGTTTTCTTTCCCAAAACAGTTCAGTGAAAGTAGAAAGAACAATGCAGTCTGAGACCTAAGCCCTAGGTTTAAATGTAAACCTGTTAAGTTCTGATATTGGCAGGTTCCAAAATTATCTTATCACACTCCTTTATATAAATGGAGCTAATAACAACTTTCTTTAAATAGTGGTTGTGAGGAGTAAGTGTATCTACTTTGTAAATAGATAGACAAATGCAAGTAATTATTATTATTTTTCTCCAAAATTTATTTGTCCTTTCCCTTTTGTTTTTTATTGATCCTCCCTCCAACTCACAGCACTCTACTTTTCTCTGAGGATATTCTCAATTTATCTGCTTTTCCGCAAAGATGCCCTCCTTGGCCAAGTTCCATGTTGAATCTCTGTAATAAAAATTTCAGGAGTGCATGTGTGTGTGAACTCAAGAGATACTATTTGAATAGCATTCTCTAACCCAGTTGTCCTTTCTATTCCTGTAGGGGAAACCCAAGAAGAAGCTTATTGACAGGAAGAACACGGTAACTGAATTTTAAAAGTTGAGAAATTCTTTCCATGTGCATAATATGTGACCGTGTACAGACTAAGCATAATACTTCATATAACCATTTTCAGTTTGGCTCAGCTTGAATAGTAACATAAAAAATGTTTCCTATTGAAAAAGTATTCTGTGGCCACTTTTTATAAACTAAGCTTGGGTTTTACTTTATTATAACTATAGGTGTATTATTTCAACTAATAATAATAGTATTCTTACTTGACTGTGTGAGAGAGACCAGAGTATTAATGAGATTTCAAGACTGTTGTCATGTTAGATTCAAATAAGAGTTTGTGTTTTGGCCTTGGTGTATCTGAGGCATATAACTCTGTGCCTTATGGGACTGAGCAGAACCTGCCTCCAGTTTGCCACAGAACTGGAAGTATGCAAAATACCCATGGCTTTTTATCTAGGCAGAGAAGAGAAAGGTCTTAGAGGAACAGCTAGGATGGCTTTGATTCACTGAAGGCTGCAATCACAACAAATATGCTTGAACCTAAACATATACCTTTTGGTTATAGGAAGTTTAAATATTACATATATCTACTTTGTGCTGTACCTGTTTAATAAGCAATATGATAACGATAGGAAAGAACCCTCCTATATCTAGGTTTGTGTGTTGCATTTAAGATTTTAAGATAGGCTAGGCATGGTGGCTTTATGCCGGTAATCCTAGCACTTTCGGAGGTTGAGGAGGGAACATTGCCTGGGCTCAGGAATTTGAGACCAGCTTGAGCAAGAGACCCCATCTCTACTAAAAATAGAAAAATTAGCTGGGCGTTGTGGCATGGACCTGTATTCCCAGCTACTCAGGAGGCAGAGGCAGGAGGATCACTTGAGCCTACGTGTTGGAGGTCGAAGTGAGCTATGATGATGCCATTGCACTCTACCCAGGATGACAAAGAGAGACTCTGTCTCAAAAAAAAAAAAAAGGAAAAGAAGAGTTAAGATAAACTTGGTTTTTCATCCTTCCTAGAGTATCCTGCTTCCTATAGTATACAATTTGGAAATTGGAAAAAAAAGAAAAGAAAAATATCTTAAACAATAAGAATATGTAAAGACCAGTGGGTTCTGTCCTTTATTTTTTGGTACTCATTTTATATGGCCATCAATAGGGGTCTTTTGGTGTTGTGGAGGTTTAAGCAAATGAAAGTTGACATATGATGGACCATATGCTGGAGGATGAAATACATCTTAATATATTTAAAAGGACCAAAATGATATAAAATATATTCTTTGACCACAATGGAATTGGATATAAATGACAATAGGAAACCCTCAAGTATTAGGGAATTAAACAGCATATTTCTAAATAATACATGGGTCAAGGAAATTACAAGGGAAATTAGAAACTAAATAAAAATATAACATGGAAGTATATAGCATCAAATGCTGCTGAAGTAGTGCTTTATGTGAAATTTATAGCTTTAAATGCTTATATTAGAAACTGAGGACTAAAATTACTGATCTTTTGTCCATTTTAAGAAACTAGAAAAAGCAAAATAACCCAAAGTAAGTAGAAGAGAGGAAATGATGAATGACAGAAAATAAATAAAGACAAACAATAAAATTAACAAAATCCAAAATTTATTTATTGGTAAGCTAGCAAAATTCATAAGCCCTTAGGTAGATAGAAAAGAAAGGATATCACTATAGATCCTACAGACATAAAACGGATACTAAGGAGGGGGAAGGATTTTAAGGGAATATTATTAACAACTTAATTCCGTTACTTTGACAACTTAGATGAAATGACCAAATTCCTTGAGGGGAATGATATTTACCAAACTGATACCAGTTGAAAGAAAACTTTTGAAGAGCCCCATGTCTATTAAGAAAATTTAATTTGTAATCAAAAACCTCCTACAAAGAAATTTTAGGCTCACTGGTTTCACTGGTGAATTCTATCAAGCATTTGAGGAAGAATAACACCAATGTTGCGTAAAATCTTTCAAAAATATAGGAAGGGACACTTCCCAATTCATCTTATGATGCCAGCATGACTATGATACCAAAACCTGATAAAGACATTAAAAAAGAAGGAAATTATAGACTAATATGATTCATGAACATAGACACAAAAATTTTTTAAAGAATATTAGCAAATCTAATCAATCCACCAGTATATAAAAAGGATAATACATATGACTGAGCTTTTCTCCAATAATACATGTTTGGCTTAACATTTCAAAATTAGTCAATATGATTCACCATGTTAAATTAAAGGAGAAAACCTAGATGATCATTTCATTAGATACCAAAAAAAAAGAGAAAAAGCATCTGATGAAATTCCACACATATTTTTGAGAAAAACTCTTAGCAAATCAGGAATAGAAGGGACCTTCTTCAATCCGATAATGGCCTTATATGAAAAATCTATTGCTTTCATCATATTTGTTAAAATAGTGAAGGCTTTTCCTCTATGATTAGTAATAAGGCAAAATGTCTACCCATGCTACTTTTATTCACACTGTACTTTAATTCCTAGGCAGTGTAATAAAGCAAGAGGGGGAGGGAAGAAATACATATAGATTGGGAAGGCTTGTAAAGTGTCTTTGTTTTGGGATGACATGATCAGGTTAGTAGAAAATCGTAAGGTGTCTTCAGAATAACTGCAAGAACATAAAAGTGCATTTAGCAATGTCTTAGGATACAAGATCAATATACAAGAATCTATTGCATTTTAATATATGATCAATACATAATTGGAAAATGAAATTTAAAATTCCATTTACAAGAGCATTTGAAAATAATGAAATACTTAGGTGTAAATTTAACAAAGCATGTTCAATACCTATACACTAAAAAGCTATTAAATACTACTTAAAGAGATTAAAGAAGAACTAAATAAATGGAGAGACATACTATGCTCATGGATTGGTAGAATTAATATTTTTAAAATATCCATTCTGCTCAAATTGATCTAAAGATCTAGTACTTTGGACTTGGATAAAAGTGACAAAAAATAAAAGTAAAAAATAAAATAATAAAAATAAAGATCCAGTGCAATCTAAATCATTATCTAGTAGATTTCTTTGTAGAAACTGACCAACTTAAAAAAAACTTTATATGGAAATGCAAAGGATTTAGAATATCCAAAGTCATCTTGAAAACGACTTAGTGTACCTGACTTAATACTATAATTCTGCAGTAATCAAGACTTTGGCAAATTGATCAATGAAACAGAATAGTGAGCCCAGAAATAGAACCACATTGATATGTCCATTTGATTTTCAACAAAAGGTCCTATGTAATCCAATGGAGAAAGGAAACTCTTTTTAACAAACAGGGCTAATACAACTGTGTATCATATTTAAAAACAAAGAATCCCCCAACCCCTGTCTCCCGAAGAAATTAGAGATGATTCATAAGCACAAAAGCTATTACTATAAAACTTCTTGAGGAAAACACAGAATATCTGTGTGACTTTGGGCTTGGCACAGGTTTTTAGGCATGACACAGAAAGTAGGAAACAAAAATGATAGATTTCTTTAAGATTAAAAATGTTATATCATAAGATATAATTAGGAAAATGATTTGGCAAGCTGTAGACTGAAGTTATTTCATCAAACGTATCTGAAAGAATTTGAATCTAGAAAATATACAACTCAATAATAAAAAGAAAACCCAGTTACAAAAGGATAAAATATTTGAACAGACTCTTCAAAAGGAATATATATGAATAGCTGATACGCTCATGGAAAATGTGCTTAACAACATTAGTTATCAAGGAATTACAAATTAAAGCCGTGTTATAGCACTGAACATCTAGCAGAATGGTTAATATGAGACTGCAACACCAGATGTTGGTGACAATGTGGAGCTCACAGAATTCTGATAAATTGTCATTGGCAGCATAAACTGGTACAAGCACATTAGAAAAAACAGTCTGGCAGTTTGTTAGAAAGCTTAGCAACTTCCACTCTGAGATCTTTACCCAGAAGAAATGAAAAACATCATCACAAAATGACTTGTACAAAAAGTTCATAGTACTTTTATTCATAATAACTCCAAAGCAGGAAATAATCTAGGTGTCCAGCAACAAGGGGACAGATAAACAGGATTATTCAGACAATGGCCTACTACTCAGCAATAAAAATAGATAAATACTGATGCACACACATGAATGAATCTCAAAAACGTGCTGAATGAAAGAAGCCTTACACAAAGCGCTCATAGTGTATGGTTTCATTTTTATGAAGTTCTAGAATAGGCAAAACTATTACATGATGAAAATTCAGAACAGTGATTGCCTTTAGGATACATAGAGGGATTGACTGGGAAGGGGCATGAGAACTTTCTGAGGTAACAATAATGTTAGAGTTTGAGTATATAGCTCTAAGTGTTTGTCAAAACTTATTAAATGGACATTTGATATTTGGGTATTTCACTGTGTGTGATCTTTATCACACCAAAAAAATCTATAAAACAAATACTGAACTCTAGATAGTAATGATATACATGTTGAAATGTTTAGGAGCAGACTGCACTGATATCTGTCTGTAACTTTGAAATGCTTTAAAAATTAGATGCATTGATGGATGGATAGAGGAATATATGATTGGATATGTAGGTGATGAAGCAAATACAGTAAAGTGTTATTTATAGAAACTAGGTGGTGGGTAAGTATATGGATGTTCACTGTACAATTCTTTAAACTTTTTTGTTTTAGATATTAATATTTTCATAGTAAAATGTTGAAAATAGAATGAAATACATGTAGTTAAAAGGTATTACAACTCGGCCGGGCGCGGTGGCTCACGCCTGTAATCCTAGCACTCTGGGAGGCCGAGGCGGGCGGATTGCTTGAGGTTGGGAGTTCGAAACCATCCTGAGCGAGACCCCGTCTCTACTAAAAATAGAAAGAAATTAATTGACCAACTAAAAATATATATACAAAAAATTAGCCGGGCATGGTGGCACATGCCTGTAGTCCCAGCTACTTGGGAGGCTGAGGCAGGAGGATCGCTTGAGCCCAGGAGTTTGAGGTTGCTGTGAGCTAGGCTGACGCCACGGCACTCACTCTAGCCTGGGCAACAAAAGTGAGACTCTGTCTCAAAAAAAAAAAAAAAAAAGGTATTACAACTCGTTTATAGGAAATTCAGTTGCTTATTAATTAACCTATATTTACAAGTCAGCTATATGCTGGGAAGTCTCAGAAGCATCACAGATACAGAAGTCAACAAGGCATGCATGGTCCTTGCTTTTATAGAACTTGTAATTCTTATTTATCAGATTCACACTTTACCCAGAATTCCCTATCCTTCATCTCTTACACTATTTAGGATTTATCTGTTTATCCAGAAGAAAAAAAACTATGAAGCATTTTAGTTCACAGTTATTTAAAAAAGTATCCAGAGAAGTAGTTTCTCCATATCTCTGAGCTTTTAGGTTTCATGCTTTCAGAAGCTTTTTATTGAGTTTTTATTGATAATTTTCTCAAAATAAACTTTTTTCCCTAATGAATAGAGTTCTTGGCAATGTAGACAGAAACACTCTTGTTTATATAATGAACATGAGCATAAACACTTGGCTTTAATTTATTAGGGTGTCCAGTTAACTTCCACTCAATGACCAAAAACATTAAGCTGTCTGAAATCACATTAAGTTTTTAAAAGACATGTCCTTAGAGGAAAATTTGTGTGTTTATAGCATAGAGATGTCAATGTTAAGCTATGCCCATGTTTGCCTATACAATTATCAAATTTGACCAAGTTGGCCATATATTATTAAATATAAATGGTTTAAATGATTATATTTTTCTATCAGATTTGTTATATTTTCTTTATTATTTAATTGGTTAAATATTTTCATAGATGTGAGCGGGGGTTAGTCTCTGGGATTATGATACGATAGGTTTGAACTATTTTTGAAAGTTCATTAATTAGCTTCCCATTTCTGCTCCCAGTTTCAAGACCTTCCTGTTCTTGGCTCAGTGCCCTGCACTGGAGAGAAGACCTCCAAAAGATTTACTATCCATTCCATCCACCCAGAAATCCCTGTCCGAAAGTCCTAAATAGACCAAATGACACAACCTTTCTATCATACTCAGAGACTGAAAACTCCCAGAGGAGTCAGGATGATTCCTTGACCTCAGAGGGAACACACTTTTGAATTCTAGAGAGAGTTCAGAGCCAGCCAGTTAGAGTTTGAGTTCTGAGTATACAGAGTTGGCTGCATGCTTTCAGACACTGATGGGATATATCTTTTCTGACCTCATGACTCAGAGCCCTTTCTCTTTTTGGTGATTTGGTTATGTCTGCCTGTCCTGTACTGCCTAGTCCTTTTTTGGACTGGGCTTGATATCTGTCACATCCCTAATTCAGGATTTGTTTTACTTTAATGCCTAATGTAGCTGCTGCCAATCCCTTTTCCTCATCTTATTTCTCACTCATGGCCTGATTAAATTTGGCTTTGTCCTATATCTGCTGTCTTCCCTTGTCTGTGCCTCTGACTCTAACTCCTGACCTGTACTCACCAACTGGGGAGTCCCTGCCACCTCTCCCCATCTCCTCCTTTAGCCAGTAGAGTGGAAGCCTTGGCAGTTCTTCATGTGAGGATGTTTGAGATGTATTGAGTCTCTGGGTCTTCGTACTTTTTCACTAAGACACTTTCCCTATGAGTCTCAGCTGGGTGCTACCTGCCATAATCACAGGTTATCAGCCATTTTCCCCTCTCATCTCAACCTCTGTTAAATCTATATCTATTAAATTTTGTATACATTCAAAAGAATGATTCATGTAATGCTGAGTAAGTCATAATGAATAGCAATAAAACAAACACTTTTTGCCACCACTCAGCTTGAGAATTAAAATGTCCTTTTTAACATATAAGGTATTGTGTGACACTTTATAATTCCTGTAGTAAAGTAATAATATCACTGAGTACTTAAAGGTACTTAAATATTGTCTTCAGATACATACTTTTTTCAGAATATTTAACAAATTCAGATAGGCCATTAGTGAGGTTTTACTGTAGATTCCAGTATTCCCTTTTACCTGTCATGCCATTTAGAATTCACTAGAGTTACCAGGCCCAGTCCGTCATAAATACAGAATTCTGTCAAGCTGACCCTTGGAATAAAGGAGAGAACTTTCCAAAGGCTGTAGCTACCATATTGTTTTTCCCCTAGAATGACCGCTGATGGAGCACCAGAATTGAAGGTAGAGAGTATGAATTCCAAGGCCAAGCTGCATGCTGCTCTTTACGAAAGGAAGCTCCTGTCTCTGGAGGTGCGAAAACGTAGACGACGGAATGGCAGATTGAGGGCAATGAGGCCAAAATACCCAGGTACCTGTTTGTGAGCTTTCACCAAACTCCGTTATCTGGGTTTTGCCAGACTGAGTTAACCAGCTGCTTACTCAATATTTAATGAGTCAGAACCTTCCTAAGGTTCACATACATTTTTTTTGTATAATCCTTTTTTCTGAAACTTAATTTCAAAAGGATAAGTTTTTAAGCCTTCCATTCTATAATATTTGTATTGAAGAATATCTGAAACACACACATTTTTCATATTCCAGCATCATACAAATACCTGATATTTTGGAAATATTAGCCTGAGTTTAATGGAACCCTGAGCATTACTATTCAGGTTTTATATAATTAGGTAAGTCCAGTTCATTCTTTGCCATTCCCAAATGTCATATATATTTTTGACAAAGTAGAATTTCTTTCTCTGCAGCTTCTCCCATGTTGCAGGTATATTTGTAATAGATAGACTGACTTCCTTTTTTCCTTTTTCTCCCTTTTTTGTGGAGCACCTATATCAGGCAACATGTTAGTCACTGGCATTTCATTGGTGAATAAAAAATATATGGTCTATGTCCTCATAGAACTTATAAGGCAGTAAAGAAGGAATAATATAGGACAGGAAGATATCCCCCTGCTCTCTGTACCTCCACGAAGTGTGCTTTTCTAAAATCCTCCAACACATTGTAGAAATAACTCATCCAAGGGTTTTTTGGTGTTTTTTTTTTGTCTGAAGTTGTGAGCGAGCCATTGGTATGATAGAAATAACAAATTTAATGAAGATCCTTAATAGGTTCTTAGAATATATGATTAGAGAGTAATATGTGGTTGCTGTTTACTTTTTGTCTTGTTTGTTTGATTTAGAAATGGGTTTTTACTAAAAAGATAAAAGGAAGGTTTTGGGAGAGAGGAAAATTTAATCCTTTTTTCAGCAACATTAGTGATTCTTCGCATTTAGTGATTACTCAACCAGCTGAAATGAATGTTAAAACTGAGACAGAGAGTGAAGAAGAGGAAGAAGTTGCATTAGACGATGAAGAACAGGAAGCTTCCCAGGAGGAGTCTGCAGGGTCTCTTGGAGAAAATCAAGCCAAATATACATCCTCATTGACTGTTACGGTAGAAAATTCACCCAAAGAAAATTCCTTGAAAATTTCTGAATGGAATAATAAAGGTGAACAATGCTGCAAAATTGAGACTCAGGAGCCAGAGCCTAAATTTAATCTGATGCAGATTCTGCAAGATAATGGAAATCTTAGGTATGTACCTTTTGTAATTATAGTAGTAAAACTAATAGCTAACTTGTACTGTGTACCAAGTACTGTGTTAAGGGCTTTATAGTCATTTTTCATTTAATATTTACAGAAGTCTTATAAAATAATGACTGTGATTACACATTGCTATTATTACAGAAACCGAGCCTTAGAGAAATTAAGTAACTTGTTCAAGATAGACCCTATAGTACAAACCCAGGTCTCATTGTCTCAACAAATATTTGTTTGTTGGGTATTTGTATGAGTCACTAATAGTACAAGATGTCTGGGACAAGGAGCTCAACTAGCTTATGATTTAGTGTGGGAGACACTTAAAAAGCTGGGGCTATGACCCAGTATGAACAAAGTGATTGGTCTGGCTTGGGAAGGCTAGAAAGGCACTATAGAGGAGGCAAAATTTGAATCAGGCCTTGTGACTGATGAGTAGGATTTCAGGAGATTTAGGAGGTGACAGGTAAGCGTGGGAGTGCTAGATAGAGGAAATAAAGGCCCAGAAGTGTGACAATACAGTCATTAATTCAATCCCTCAGCAGGTTTTTATTGAGCACTTGTACTCTGCCAGGAATTGTGCTAGGCCATGTTGTGTTACTATGGGGACCAGGACAGAATCCTGGAGCTTACAGTCTGGTAGAGAAGACTGACAATAAACAAATAAGGTCATTTAAGGCAGTGAGAGATGCTATGGGGACAATAGGACAGTGTAATATTAGAATGTAATAGAGCAGAGGGTTACTTAGTATGAGGTGATCAGGCATGAAAGCCTTTGAGGTGAGTCCTGAATGATGAGGAGTCAGTCATATGAATATTTAGGTTGTAGAATACTCCCAGAAGAGCAGCAAGTACAAAGGCCCTGAAATTGTAGTCACTTTGTTGTATTTATGAAATACAGACTACAGTAGTAGAATTACATGGAGAGAAGAGCATGGTAAGAAATGAGACTAAAAATTTTTAGATGTTGTTAGATTGTGAAGGGCCTTAAGAGGAGCCTGGGCTTTATTTTCTAGGGTTTTTTTTTAAGAGATAGGGTCTTGCTCTGTTGCCTGGGCTAGTGTGCACTGGCATCATCACAGCTCACTGCAGCCTCTAACACCTGGACTCAAGTGATCCTCCTGCCTCAGCCTCTCAAGTAGCACACCCAGCTAATTCTTTAAAAAAATTTTTTATAGAGGCAAGTTCTCCCTATGTTGCTCAGGCTGTTCTCAAACTTCTGACCTCAGCAATCCTCCTGCCTTGCCCTCCCAAAGTGCTAGGATTATAGGTATGAACCCCCATGCCTGTCCTCTAGTTGATTTTTAAGCAAATGAGTGATATAGTGACATCTTGTTCTAGAAAGTAAATTCTGGTTGCATTGTGGGCTAGTGATGGATGAGTGTAGAAACTACAGGCAGGGAGGTGAGTTAGGGAATGTTAGACTTGTCCAGAGCCAGGAAGATGGAGGCCTTGATCAGAACAGCGGCTATAGGAATGGAGAGAATTGTATGGATTTAGTGAAATTTATAAGGTAAAATTGATAAGACTAAATTTTCCACATTTGGCAACTTGGTGATGCCATCAGTCAATGCAAGAAGCATATGATTTGTTTTTGTAATAGAAATAATGTGTTTCATTTGAGACTCAGTGAAGAGGAAATGGTCTGAGCTGAAGTCCACTAGACAGGTGAAAATACAGCCTTGTAGGTCAAGGTGGAACAGGATTATACAGTTAATAGTTAGGGCCTTCAGAGTAAATGAGATTATTCAGTTCCATTTAGTTCAGCAAAGAGAAGAGGAAGGGAATTGAGCTGTGGGAGTATCACTGTTCAAGAAGTAGCAGTTAGAGGTAGGCATTAAAACTGGGAGGAGCAGTGTGGCAAAAGCTATAAGATGAAAGTTTGAAGTCTGTAGTGCCTCAGACAGCCGAAGTTAAGACAAGCAGTGAAAAAAGACTCCTGAGTTTGTGACCTAGAACCAACTTTGTAGATGGAAGAGCAGTTATGAACTGAGAAAATAAGAAACCAAGTGTGTGCTGATTGTCAAAGGGTTGGCAATGAAAGGAAGATGGGAATGCAACAGGGAGAGAGCCCGCTAAAGATAGGGATTCTGGAGCTTATTTATAGACCAAGGAGAAGGATTTGATGAGAAGAGGGTTAGAGATACAGATATGGATATATTGGTGGAGAAGAGTCCTAAAGGAAGGTGGAAAGCGGTTAGTGGAGGGGTATCACTTAGTGTAAGTCAGAAAGAAAGGACTGTGAGATGAATGCAGTAGGCAGAAGTTGAAGAGCAAGCAAGTTTAGGTATTTATGCGTGGTGGCCTTTATTTTCTAACTTAGAGGCCACTTCTTATTACTGAAAGGCTGGAGAGTGACATTAGGGTCTGGAGGGACAGAGTTAAGGTTTGGAACAGTGTCATGGAGAATGAGAATAGTTCCATTAATGGAGAACACACAAAACTCATTCAGAAGATCTGGGCTTTGACTTTTTTGGTGCTACCAACTGGCTGTATGGCTATAGGCAAGTTAAAGAGCCTCTCTAGGCCTCAGTTTCCTTTTCTGTCAAGCCAAGATGTGGAGTTAGACAGTGTTTTTCAGAGTACTTTCTGGAGGGAGAAAAGATTCCACTGAATTGAAAACAGAGCATTTGAAAACCACTGGACTGTATTCTGAGATCCTTTCCAGCAATAACATTCTCCTTAGTTGTTGTAGAAATAAATTATTTCTTCATAAATCTTATGGATCTCACTTTCAATGAGTAAACTGTTATTAACTGCAGGATGTGTTAGTATAAATCAGTGGTTTTTAGATTGTGTTCCTTGAAGCTGCCCTTTGTCCTGTGGAGTGTCTCCGAGGTGACTGAGAGGCTTAGTAAAGGTACATGACAAGGGTTCAAGACTCTAGTCACAGATTCCTTGTTGTATATTTTATATACTAAAGATCTATATAACCTTCTGTTTTTAAAAAAATAGGTTTCTTTGGTAGAAATTATTCTGGTCGTCATTCTTTCATCTTTTTTTTTTTGTTGTTTGTTGCAAATGACTAATTGAGCAATGTGTCTTGGACCTTGAAGACAATCTCAGAATTAGCATCCCAGGGATCTCCTTAATAAGGTTTATAGAAACAAAAACCTCTACTTATTCATTAGATCTGCAATAAAACAATGGTTAAAGTCTCAATTTATGAGCAATAATTCCCTTATCCAAAAGACCTTCATGTTTTATAATAGTATAAGGGTTTCAATCAGTGAAATTGGATATTCTGCTACATTTGGAGATATCTGAAACATGCTATTTCTTGCTCGTTATATTGCTAGTGAATTCATTGAACAAAGTTGAGAACCTTTTAAATTTATTTTGCCTTGAAAATAAGTTTTTGAGGAGGTGAAGCTTATGGGAATGGTTGATAGAAAAGTGGCATATGCTCTATGGGTGAACAAGAATATAATTATTGTCTTTGTTGAGAAGTATTTGAAAATGCATATTTATTATTTCAAAGTCATATTGTGCTCCTATAAATGATCCCTGTTAGTAGAAAGATCTAGCCTTATTTATAGTTCATGTTCCAAAGCTCTTATGTATTAAGCTATCAAAAGCACTACTCCCCAACCTGACTCCCCTGCCCTCCAGTTCTCCAACACACACATGGAAGCTAGACTGAGCCCTCTTAGGATTTCCAGTTTCCTCTGGACAAATTCTTCATCCTAACCTTGGGGGAACAGTGAGTAGAAAGCATTCAGTGATTGCATGTGTGAGGATTGTAAACAAAGTTTGTGTTGGGCCCTAATCTTCACTGATGTAATTTTGGCTACAGTGTCAGAAGGCCGATCAGCTGAAGTAACCAAAAGCTCGCCTAAAAGAAAACAGATCTGCCACAATTGGCAGCTAAAGTGAATATCATCAGTGTCTCTCTGGTACTTCTGTCTTTCTAACTATAGCTTGATCGGTTTCCTTGTTTCCAGCCTAGACCACCAGGCAGAAAATAGATGGGTTCTTCAGTGATGTTGCTGAGGGTGCCTTTCACTATATTTAAGGATTTCTTTTTCCCACTGAACATCTGGGCTTGCCCTGGCCTATTAGTTCATCTATGCCAAACTCTGTTGGACCTCACTCATTTGTTCTGGGCTCCAGCCATTGCTGTCTTGTAGTTGAGAAAAGCATGACCTTAAAATTTAGTCTTAAAAGGTCCTTTGTAGGATTTATCTGTTTCCTGCTTTGGATGTTTTTACACACTAGAAATATTAGTTACCATAGCAAAATCCATACTTTTTCACTAACTGATAAGTATATTCTTGAGGACCTCCGGTGGAAAAAAAAACCTTTTTTTCCTTAATACAGTGGTTCTTGTGAAGATTCAATATTTCTCCTGTTTCTTCCCCCAAGAAAGTTGTTTAAAAGTTCAAAAAGATAAGATGGTGAATAGGAAACCTAAGTTTCTATTCTTGGTTTTTTTTCTCCCATGCTAATAATAGAAAATAAATAGGATTCTTTATCTTTGATTCTTTTAATAGGAAAAAAAAATTTTAAACCTCATGTATTGTTTAGAAGGAATCTTATTCAGTGGCTATAAGATGGGCTTCATATTTCTTAGCCATCCTAATAAAAGTATCCTCAAAGGCCACTTTGAGAGAGGCAAATACACATTTGATAGGCTTACAATTCTGTCTCTTAACGGTATGTTGTTTTGGATTTCTATAGCAAAGTGCAGGCCCGAATAGCATTCTCTGCCTATCTCCAACATGTTCAAATTCGCCTGATGAAAGACAGTGGAGGTCAGACGTTCAGTGCCAGTTGGGCTGCCAAAGAGGATGAACAGATGGTGAGGCTCTTCTTATTGGAACCTTTGTACTTTCCTTTTTTCTTTCTTTCTTTCTTTTTTTTTTTCTATTAGGATAAAGAGCAATATATTCTTCCGGTGAAAGGATTACTACATAATAAAGTTTCTAGATGTCTTATATTCTAATGTGAAGCAAATCTTTCATCTTGAAGCTATGTTCGTTGCACCATGTAGTGAGGACATCCGTTTATTTCATTTTGAAATGGAAATTGATTTCTAATTGATGTTAAGCCCTGTACAAAGACCTCAGAATGAATAACAATTTACAGTTCTTTCTCAAGCCAACTCACATTTTATTAACTTTTGGGTAGGCATTATCTATTTTAGAGATGTGGAAACAAAGACCTAGAGAAGCCAAGTCTGTTGTTCCCATAGCTTGTATGTGGTGAAACTGGAACTTGAACCTAGATGTTATAATTGTACATTACTTGTTCTTCTATTTCTTTCATGTATCATAAGGCATTTATTTTCTGTCCTGAGGAGTCAAGTTAGTTCTTTGAAAGTCAACACCTTGTTGTGGGCCCTCTCAGAATGCACTATTCCGTATCTTCATATTTTTTCTTTACTAATTATAACTTTATAGGATTCTTAGATTACTGGAATCAAACTTGTGTGATAATTTTTGCTGTATATCAGTCATTTGAACATGCCTGGGATTTAATCTTCCAGGAAAGTTTTTGGGTTTTTTTTTGGATCAGAATGTTAGGGAGCTTCAAGCTTCAAGTAAAGTCAGAGCTTACAGAAGAAGCTACAGTCCTTCTATAACCTTTTTAACAATAGGGATTTGTCACCAGAAAAGTCTGAGAAAGCTGCATCCTTTATTCCACTCAGTGGTAACCCTATTATAATTTCTAGTCCTCCACATACAAAAGACAGGTCTTTGTGCCAGGCTTATTATAAAAACATGTTGGTTATCCCAGAAAACAACTTGTGAATTTATAGTAGCCAATATAACTCAGAGATAAAACCTTGTGTGTTGTGAATAATCCTTCAACCATCAGTGGAAAATGTTAGCTCTGCTCTTTCCAAGTGGAAAATTGAGACTGCCTTTTGAGAGTCAGTTTGTCTGCTCCACTGTGAAAAAATAGTGTTTTAATATTTCAGCTTAAACCACCCTATAGTAAAGACAGCTGAGTAGAACTATGAAATTCAACCCTCTGGTTATGAGGCTGTTCCATTTATGCTGGAGTAAATTGGCACAAAGGACAATGAGCCAAAATCAAATTCAAGAAGAAAAAAAATAATTCAGAAGAGAATAACCACTGCAAATGCTGGCTTGGAATTTACATGGGGTTTCTATGGGGGTTTATACAAGAATATTTGGAATCATTGCTGCAAAACTTAATACTGGTTCTCTGAATTCCTTCTTGAAAATGTATTTAGCAAGCAAACCCTAACTCATTCTTTGATGATTGTGGCAGTGGTCTTGCTTATGAAGAAGGTAGATGTAGAGTTACCCTCTATGATCTGAGTTGCGTTAGAAATTTTTTATCTCACAAATCACAGAAGACATATCAACAGAAGTTCTCAACATCTATTGTCAATTTTATTGTGTTTATGGGGCAAAATATCTTTAAGGTCCTTGGCCTTACAAAATGTCTCTTTGAAGCATTTATGATGTTTTAAGTCACCCGATTGGTATCTGTTCAGATGTCAAAATCCTTTGTCCCCATCTTAAGTGAAATGTATTCTTTCTTTCCCTTAATGATTTTACACTGTGCCCTCCTTGCCAACCCTAAACTCTGAAAGCTCTCTGATCCTTGGGGAAGTAAAAAAAAAAGGCATCACCTTTCAAGCTGCTATGACAGTTCTTTCTTTTACTTTATCACTAAACTTTTTAAATGAGTAGTTTCTACTCTTTACCTATATTTTTCATTAACTATGCATTTTCTTACTATCTTTCTTTTACTCTCTTTATAATAAAAATGTTTCTTGAAATTATCCCTCAATGGCCAGATCCAGAGCCTTGTCTGGGTAGTGGTCTTTTTTAGGCACATTTGATTTGGAACACCTTCCTCCGTTGTCCTCCAGGACACGATTTTCTACTAGATTTCTTCCAATATTTTTGATGTTTCTACCCTGTTATTTTTTCTGAATCTTCCTCCTCTTTCCTAAGTGTGAATATGAAAAAGTATGTATCTTTTTCAACCTTCTCACCTTTGATGATTTCTTCTGTTCCCACAATTTTAGTTTCCACTGTCTTTAGCTATTCTCTAAATAGCTATCTTTGATCATGCTATTAGAAATGATATCTGCTCTTTGAATTATTATAATACTATTTATATATGTATTATGGTACTTTTATAACTATTATTACATAGTAATTTGCATACATATTTGATTTTTATTTTCTAATTGTCAGCTTACTTAGGGGAAAAGAATAAGTTTCTTTTGTTTCACCTTTGTGTAATTTCTTATACCTATCATGTTTGCTTTGGGTCTTGTTTGTTGAAATGTATAATATGTCTCTTCTCATATCTCCGTTGTATAATCCCTTCATACCTTGTCTTCTGTTGCTTAGCATAATCCATGCTCTTTTTTCCCCCCCATGATTCTTTAATTTACAGGAGCTGGTAGTTCGTTTCCTTAAGCGAGCATCAAGTAACCTCCAGCATTCACTGAGGATGGTATTACCCAGTCGACGATTGGCACTTCTAGAACGCAGAAGAATCCTGGCCCACCAACTGGGTGACTTTATTGTTGTATACAACAAGGTAATTGGTTTATCTGTTAGTCTTCTGCTTTGAATTGCTACACGCTGTCAGGAAAAGATTAGAAGCCTCTGTTCAACTGGGCGGAGAGGTTCTTTTTCTGTTCTCTAGCATCATCATCCTCTGTGCATTACTATTAGGGAGAGCAGGACCCCACACCTTAACCTAGTTGGGCTGAAGAACTATTACTTCTGAAGGCTAAGTGTCCATCATTAACTCTTATCAAAAGGTATATTCCTTTTGAGTTCTATTGCACCTGTGATGAATCCTGGGCTATGTGAGTCTGCATTGTTGTTATTGTGCCTGTGGACAATGGTGAGTTGACTGTTTGGGAGCAAATTTAAACTGAAGATTTGATATAATGATGTATTCTTCTTTCTTGAGAGAGTTACACTTTCTTCTCTGAAACATTTTATACAGTGACATCATTTTACAATCAAGCCCAGGAAATATATTATTTAGTTAGACTATTTTACAAAGCATTCTATAGCCAAAGGTCTCAGGATGCATTAAAAATATCATTTGGGGGGTGGGAGGAATATGGTCAGTTTGCAGATGGAAAAGCTGAGGCTTGGAAATTTAAATGGCTTTTCTGAAGTTGCATAGAATGGTTAGTAGAACATCAGTGCACCAACCCCATACCTATAATTTACTCCAGATCTGTTGAGAATTTTGTTATGTCTTATATAAGTGAAGAGTTTATTCAATTTGGAAGCTGATATAAGAGTATCTTCCAATACCTATCTTTCCTCTCCTAATTGCAACAAAAAACTGTGTCTGTGTTGTCATACTGTTAAAGCTACAAGTATGATCTTGGATATTACTAAATTACTATAAAAAGCTTTTTGATCAATAGCCTGTATAAGTAGAAAGTAAAACCATGATAAAAATTTATATTTGTTTTGCAACTTTTACTTCGGAATTTCAAAACGTTTCATGAAATAATAGCCAAAAGTAAGATATCAAATTTATAGGTGACAAAAGTACAAGGAAGAATTAAATGACTTTACTATAAGGACAAATTAACCTAAGGGTAATGAAATTAGATGATGAAGTACCATTTATCAGGAGTCAATTTTATCTTGTTTTTCTGTGGGGCTTGGGCACTGGGTAGGAAACGGAACAGATGGCTGAAAAGAAATTGAAGAAGAAACATGAGGAAGAAGAGGAAGATGGGGTGAATACGGAAAGCTTTCAAGAGTTTATCAGACAAGCAAGGTAGAAGATTTTCTTGATTTATCAAAACCATCTTATTCCATCTTCCATACTGCCCATTGAATACCCACCATTCCCCTGTTTCTGACACATGGATGTGAATAAAATTATTATCAATGTTGGGTGCAATGGTGTGTGCCTGTAGTCCCAGCTACTTGTGAGGCTGAGACAGAAGGATCACTTGCAGCCAGGAGTTTGAGGCCAACCTAGGCAACATAGTGAGACCCTGTCTCTAAAGAAAAAGAGAAAGGAAGAAAAGAAAGAACAAAAAAGAAAAAAATCATTCTCAGAAGGAGAAAAAGTTGCATAGGCTTGGCCTCTTCATATCTCAGCCAATTATGTTACTGTTGTCATGGCTTCAGTTGTCAAAACACTGCTGCTGAGTATCTGAGCTGTAGTACTAGACAGCCTTCAAAGTATACCCCACTCAAAGTGCTGAGAGAGCGCTTTGGAAATTTAGAGTTAGAGGCTTCTGGTGTTTACTGGGTCTGAATTTATCCCTGACCTACTGATGCAGTGGAGATGACCAAATTTTGCCTTCATTGAGTGGGTTGAGAAATTGGCAATTTCTCAACACTGTGAGGGTTACGCCTAATTTATATAAAATAGAACAAGTCTTTCATGCTTAGGGTTAGCCTTTAGGGATTGAAAATCTCAGCATTCAGTTTTCTATCTTGATACAAGTCAGCCAGGCCATTTTGTCCATTTATACTGGGTTTCTAAAGGAGGAGATAACGAAGGCATTTAATTTTAAATCTTGTAAAACTCATACTGGAGGGACTTTTTCTAAGTAGAGAGTTGTGCAAAACTAGGAAAAAAAAGGGTAAAGTAACTATAAACCCCATTACTTAGGTTTCAGTCATGAAAGTCATAATAAGGAGAAAATCAATAGAAAATCAACACTGTTGATTTGTGAAGTTAAATCAGGTGGGGGTTTATCAATCATAAGCACAGTATAATCTTTATTTAGCACCTTGTACAGACCTCATTATAGCCTCAGTATCATGTGCTTAAACACATAACAAACAAACACATCATTTTGTAGGAGTCCATAATTGTATGATGTTATTTTTGTTGACATTCTTGGGTCTTGAGTAATGTGATTGATAAAGCAGGTATAGAAACAATGTAAGAAGCAGTTTTTCATACCAACATTATAAAAATAGAAAAGGAAAAAGAACTAGATTATATTCAGAAAAAGCTCTACTTTTAATGCTAAAAGATTAATTTCTGATTCCTCCTTTGGATCTTCTAAATCCCTAAAAATACATAAAAAAAAGAAAAAAGCCCATCCTTTTAAAAAGTGATGTGTATTTCCCTAGCAGGTCTAACTGGATGCTAAAAATGAATTACACATTCTATTAACTAATTATGTAGATTTGGAGATAAAATGTATTGGAACATAATTACTTCTGATTGCGGATTATGTGTTGATTGTTGGGAAGTATGTGGTAGTCTCAGTTCTTCTTTTATTAAGTTTGGGGTGAATACATGGATACTTTGTCAGGGCTGGTAAATTCAAATACCTACGGGAGTCAGGAAGGAAAACATAAATTTTAAAGTGGGCAGAGTATAAGACAGGTATAAAGCAGCTTGTATTTTGACCAACCATAACCTTTGCCTTTTAGTATTTTGTGAAGGGCTAAATAACACACAACAACAGGCAGAAGCAGCTGCCTGTTTGCAATGTCAGCTGTAGATCTTTGATAGTTACTTGTGTTACTTATCTTGGGGTATTCAGCTATTTTTAAAGACCTTGGGGCTTACACTGAAATTCATACAGGTGGTTTCTAGGTTCTCATTAGAGTGTGCTCTGAAGATGGGCTATGGGTTCTTGGTGATAATGCAGGCATGCTTCACTGATGGCTGCTTACCCTGGAACATAGCCCGGCTTCAGGAAAAAGAAAAGAAAAAGACCATTGAGAGGCCGCTACAGATGTTACAAAATCCATGTATGATATATTAACTGGAAGACTCCCTTAGGCCCTCTGTTTCCTTATACTTTGTATTGTGTGGATGGTCATAAAGAGAATATAATTTCAACAGTTTGAAGTGACCTTAGAGATCATCTAGTTCAGTCTCCTGCATTGTATAAATGGTGAGTGAACTCATCTGTGCTTACACTGGTAGGTTTCCTTATTTCTTAGGGAAGCAATTAAGATGATAAGTGGCTCCTTTAGTGAAGATACTTCTATTGTCTAAAAGTGGGGTGGACAAACTGTAAAGGGACAGAAATAAGTATTTCGGACTCTGTGGGCTACATATGGTCTTTTTGCATATTCTTCTTTAAAAGTATAAAAAAAGTTTTTAGCTGGGGCCATACAAAAACAGGTTGCCGGTCAGGTTTGTTCCAGTGTTTAGTTTGTTGACTCCGGATCTTGAATGTGGCTGTCCAATAGAATATTCTGTGAGTGACTATTGAGCACTTGAAATGTGACTAGTATAACTAAGGAAAAGAATCTCTAATTTTATTTAATTTTAATTTAAGTAGTCACATATAACTAGTAGATTCCATATTAGACAGTGTATATCTTTATTCATCACTGTGGGATGAATAAAGCTTTATCATACTTTACATTTTTCAGATTGTTTTCATTTATATTTCATTTTAACCATCTATTAATAGGGAATTTTCAGCTTGTGCTTTTCATTTTCCCCTTTTCCAGCTTATTCTGTTTCCGTAATAAAATCTGGTAGAAAGATTTTCCAGAATAGCTTCCTGTATGATCATACTTTTTCTCCTCATTTCAGTGAGGCTGAACTGGAGGAGGTTTTGACTTTTTACACTCAAAAAAACAAGTCTGCAAGCGTCTTCCTGGGGACTCACTCTAAAAGTTCTAAGAACAGCAACAGTTATTCTGATAGTGGGGCAAAAGGTGGTAAGTATGCTGGTTAATTAATAAAAAATAAGAAGAAGTGAAGAAATAAGAAATTCAGAGGAGAGTCAAGAATAATGTGTTGGCTAAGCACTGATAGTCTCCAACGTGATGAAACTTCACAGCGTAGGGTGGGGGTAGAAGATGGGGGACAGTGCTTTTTGTCCTAAAAGCAGAAGAGGGTTATGATCTAATTTTTCCCCCCATGGTAATTAATAACAACAAGCTTTTCAAGAAAAGCTGGTAATAGCTAACATTTAGTGAATACTTATCTTCCTATCTGCTGGACATGGTCTTATTTTTTACTTCCAAAAATCATGTGGATTAAGCACTATTATAAAACTTCTTTACAGATAAGAAAATGGCTAAAAGAGACTGAGTAATTTGCTCAAAATTACTCTGTACCATGCAGGGACAGGAATTTATTCCTAGTCTACCTGACTCAAAGCTTGTGCTCTTAATCTCCACTCTCCTGCCTCTCTAATGATTGTTTCTCCCTCTTGTCAAGTTTGTTGCTTTCTCTAGCTCAACAGAATTGGCATTATGGATAGAATTCTTTGTTGTGTGGGGCTGTTCCATACCTGGTGAGATGTTTCATATTCTTGGTTCTAAGGCCTGTATGCTATTGGCTTCCTTCAGGCATTATGATAATCCAAAATACTTCTACATGTTTCTAAAAGTTCTCACTGCTTTGACACTCCATGATCAGGAATTTTGTAATTGAATATATACTGGGCTTTCTAGCTCATGTTATCATGATAAAAAAAATAGCAGTGATATTATAAACAAAGCTCTGTGCTTTAACTATAGATGCATTTAAAGCCTAGACAGAAGTGTAAGCATAATCAACATACTAATTTTGTCAGTGAAAGACAAAAAGATTTTGTTTTCTGCCAAGTACTAGATTCAGAGGTGGAGATTTCTTCCCTGCTCTTAAGGCTACCATAATCTTTTGTGGAAATAGCCAGGGAAATTTCTTTTTTTTTTTTCTTTTAGACAGGGTCTGGCTCTGTCACCCTGGGTAGAGTACCATGGAGTCATCATAGCTCACTGCAACCTCAAACTTCTAGATTCAAATGATCTTCCTGCCTCAGCCTCCCCAGTAGCTGGGACTATAGGTGCACACCACAATGTCTGGCTAATTTTTCTATTTTTAGTAGAAGCAGGGTCTCACTCTTGCTCAGATTGGTCTCTAACTCCTGAGCTCAAGCAGTCCTCCTGCTTCAGCCTCCCAGAGTGCTGGGATTACAGGCATGAGCCGCTGTGCCTGGCCAGAAATTGCTCACTTAAAATGTGAAATGAATTTTCCCAAAGAAACAGAGTTAATGTTTTAAAAACTGATTTGGTTCCTCGGCTACCCCAGAAAAGCCTATTTAACTCACTAATTAAAATATTGTTTTACTAAAAGTCCAGAATCCAGCCTTCTTCTTTGAGCTTGCTTAACTTCATTCATCTGTTCATTCATTCCTTCTATACATTTTTACTGAGTGCCTATTATGTGTTAGGCACTTTGATAACTACTAGGAATACAATGACCAGGACTGTCATAGTCTTTAGCATTATAAAATTTGTCGTATAGTATATGAAGTTGGGTGAGTGAATCCAAGAAGGTTGGTGGAAGCTCTGAAAAGCTCCTGTAAGAGTTTTAGGCAAGGGAGGCTGAGGGATTCTTAGGGTAGAGAAGTGTGCTAACCTGGGGAGGTGGGCGCCTAGAAGGGTATTCATACAGTAACTTTGCCCCTACTAGTAATGAGGAAGCCCTAACAGCAGGTAGTGGCAGCACCTTTGTACAGATGGGTCATTTGAAATTGTAGGGGTCATATGTTAAGGACTACCTTGACGTAAGAATATCTGTACCTGTCTGTATCTATTATGAATAACTAGAGGGGTAGTAGGAAATCCTCAGTCAAGGAAACAACATTATGACATTTGACAGTATAGTATCTGGAGTCATTTCAAACATGAACAAACAAGTATGTAACAGTATTACCACTTATTTCAAGTAAAACTGGGTGTTTAAAATACAGAGCCATTATAGTATCCAGGTATTATACCAACAAATACTGGGGTTGCTCTTTTTATCTCATAATAGCTGCCCTGCTCCATACATATTATGACTTCTTGGCGCCAGTTGGTACTGCCAACCAACTTGCTCTCTTAGACCACACTCCCTCCCACTCTGAATTCCTGTATGAAGCATCTAACTACCCTTAATTTGTTCCCAGGCATATCTAGCTTGTTAGTAGTCCACGGATGGCTGTCCTGGGTTTAGGTAACTTTCCCTGATTCAATTAGCTGGAGCTGGGAATAGCTCCTGGGTTGGGAATAGCTGAGAATCATTTGGTTGGTTGCCCACCCAACAGGGCTGTGGGTGTGGTCATCCCTGGAAAACTGGTGAGACATGCAGTGTTCCCCAGCATTGACTAGTAGTTCTGTTATATTTTTGAAAACAGAATTATGTATAGAGCAATGGCTTTGTATTTTGTTAGTAAGAGAGCCTAAACTCAGTATTTCTTACTTTAGATCACCCTGAGACGATGGAAGAAGTGAAAATAAAGCCACCCAAACAGCAACAGGCAATAGAAATTCATTGTGATAAATTATCTCGTGAGTGATTTCAAACCTACATAGATTGCTTGCTCTCTGATAAATCCCTAAAAGAAAAAAATAGTCATCAGATATTAAATATTTCAAAAGCATGGAATATTAACCCTTTTCTTTTATTCTTCCTTTTCCTTTAGAATTTCCTCTTATCTATTGATAATCTATTTTCCTTCCAAAGAATTTTTCATTTTCTTAAGTTTAGAAATTCTGGGCATTTTCTTTTTTCCTAGAAGGTTGGAAAAAAAGGGGGAAAGGAATTAGCTGTTGCTAGCAGAAACTTTGTCCTGATGTCCTAACATGTGTAAAACATGCCCGCTCTGTTTTGTGGAGGTAGTACCAACTCTTGCTTGTAGAAAGGACTAAAAGTAAATTCCTATTTCTGTTGCCAGGTCATCTCTGGTAGGTAAAATTCATTAAGTTCATGATGAATACTCATTAAAGTCTGTATTTATCATGATTTCTGTTTCATGCTAAGATTATTTTGATGTTTTAAAAAATGTTTGTGTTTTATAGAGATTATATGTCCATTTTTCCTAAAATGATCTGTTTTTGTGTTTTGTTTTGTTTTTAATAGGATTTACCACTTCAGCTGAAAAAGAGGCTAAATTAGTCTATACCAATTCTTCCTCTACTTCTGTCTCTGGTCCTGCTGCTACTCTTCTGCAGAAAATTCCCAACACCCATTTGTCATCTATTATTTCAACCTCTGACCTCTCACCAGGGCCTGGCCACCATTCTTCTTTGTCTCAGATCCCTCCAGCTATCCCCAGCATGCCTCACCAGCCAGCAATCTTACTGAACACAGGCTCTGACAATGCTTCTCCCTCTATACATCCTGGAACACAGAACATACCAAGCCCCACTTGCCTGCCACGCTGTCGATCAGGCAGTTACACCATTGGCCCCTTTTCCTCTTTCCAAAGTGCTGCACAAATCTATAGCCAGAAATTGTCTCGTCCCTCTTCAGCAAAGGCAGGTGAGTGAGAAAACAAAAGGCAGCCCACAATGACAGCTCCTGCCCTGCCCCAATGAAAAAAGAATGTCATCTCTTCCCTTTGCCTTTTCTTTTGAAAAGTAAAGGGACACATACTGCACTGTTTTGATATGACTAAGAAAGACGCTTTCATTTTGTCCAGTAGCATTCATTCATTGATACAGAATGAAACAGGACTTCTTTTTAGGTACTGGAGATAAAGAGATGAATAAGACAAGGCTTCTGTTCACTAGGAGCCTACAGTCTTGTCAAGAGATTTCCCATCACAGATAACCATAGACCTATAAGTGTGTTATATGCATTCTTTCTGATTCAAATAGTTATTCCTGACATCAGACAAATCAGTATTTTTTATTTTTCAATGTATTTAAAGTCAAAAATGACATGGATAAAATAACCAAAGAATTCTTAAAATAGGGTATCTAATTTTAAATGAAGTGGACCCATATTATCAGTCATGTTTTTATGCCATTTTTTAATAACAGCTTTATTGAAACATAATTCACATTCCATAAAATTGACCCTTGTAAAGTGTACAATTCAGTGGTTTTTAGTATATTCACAGAGTTGTGCAATCAACACCACTAGCTATAATAATTTTAGAACATTTTCATCATCTCCAAAAGAAGCCCCATACCTATTAGTAGTCACTGTCTTATTTCTTCCTCCCCCAACCCTTGGCAGCCACTGATCTACTTTCTGTTTCTACAGATTGGTCTACTCTGGACATTTCATATAATTGGAATCGTACAATAGGTAGCCTTTTGTGAATGGCTTCTTTCATTTAGCATGATGTTTTCACAGTTCATCCATGTTGTAGCATGTACTTCATTTTTTATGGCTGAATAATATTTTGTTGTATGGATATATGGATTTTGTTTATCCATTTGTCAGTTGATGGGCATTTGGTTTGTTTCCACTTTTTGGTCATTATGAATAATGCTTTTATGAACATTTGTGTATAAGTTTTTGTGTGCACACGTTTTCATTTCTCTTGAGTGTATAGCTAGAGAAGAATTATTGGGTCATACGATAACTTTATGTTCCCTCTTTTTGAGGAACGTCCAAACTGTTTTCCAAAGTGGCTGTGCCATTTTACTACCAGCAATGTATGGATGTTTCAATTTCTCCACATCCTTGCCAACACTTATTGTCTGTCTTTTTGATTTTACCCATCCTGGTGGATGCGAAATCGAGTCTCTTTTTGTTGTTATGATTTATATTTCCCTAAAGGCTAATGATGATAAACATCTTTTCATATGCTTAATGGCTGTTTGTATATCTTCCTTGGAGGAATGTCTATTCAAATTCTTTACCCATTTTTAAATTGATATATTTCCCTTTTTAATTTGAATATAAATGTTCTTTATATACTCTAGGTACAATCCCCTTGTCAGATAAATGTTAAAAATATTTTCTGCCTGTTAGTTGTCCTTTTACTTTCTTAAAGCACAAATGTTTTAAATTGATAAAGTCCAATTTTTCTATTTTTTTTCCTATTCACCTGTGGTGTGGGCATCATATCTGAAAAACTATTGCCTAATCTAAGGTCACCAAAATTTCCTGCTATGTTTTTTCCAAGAATTTTATAGTTTAGTCTCTTATATTTAAGTCTTATACATTTAAGTCTTATACATTTTGAGTTAATTTTTGTGCATGGTATGACATGGGAGTCTGACTTCATTCTTTTGCATGTGAATAGTCAGCACCATTTATTGAAAAGAGTATTGTTTCCCCATTGCATTATCTTGGCACTCTGGTCAAAAATCAGTTCATTATCAATGTAAAGGTTTATTTCTGGGGTCTCAATTTTATTCCATTGATCTATATGTCTGTCCTTATGCCAGTATCACATTATCTTGATAACTGCAGCATCATAGTAAGTTTTGAAATCATCAAGGATGGTTCTTCAACTTCATTTTTCTTTCTCAAGATTGTTTAGCCCGTTCTGGATCCTTTGCATTTCCATATGAATTTTAGGATCAGCTTGTCAATTTCTGTAAAAAAAGGCAGATGGAATTTTGATAGGGATTATTATCTGTAGATTAATTTGAAGAGTATCTCTTTTAAACACTTTAGTAATAGTTGTGTTAAAATGAGTTACAGCTAGCCATGTTTTGTAAATATCCAATCTATATTTCTTAATACCTGGTTTCAATTGAAATGGATTTTGTAATATGCCACTTAAATCACTTAATTTTCCCCTTTAATAAGTCATAAACATGAGTATATGCATATATATGTGTCTGTGCTAATTCTGAGTGATCATTGTTCTTGTCAGTTAATTTTCTAAACTCAGTAATAATAATAATATTCTGGTTTGAAATTTTTTTCCCCCGGTGTGAGATATTCAGTAAGATCAATGTCTCCAGTCCCCTGTGTTATTGTTGAAACTTTTTAAAAAGCTTTCCCTTTTTACCTTTTCTAAGAGAGGGATAGGGAATTTAAGAAGCTGGTCGGTTAAAAAATATTTCCTGATGTCCATTATGCTTTCTTATTTGACATGTGGATTATTTATAAGTATTTTGTTTAATTTTCAGGTAGTTGAGATTCATTCTTCTTTATAATTGGCTTTTAGCTTTTTTCTACTGTGGTCAGAGAATATATTCTGAATGGTTTAAACAATAGTAGGCAATAATATGTGGACAAAAAGATTACTATATAGTAGGCAACAGTAGCATATAAATGATTAGAGTTAAACTTTTCTGTGGTGACTGTATAGTTTTGGGATGAGATTAAGATATTATTTAACTGTAGACTTTTAAAGTTAAATATACATTATCACATTTCAAACATCACCACTAAAGGAATAAAAGTATATAAATTCTAAACCCATGGGGAGAAGAAAAATGAATTGAGGAGAAAAAAATGTATAAATATAGGAGTATATAAGAAAAAAGCATAGAAAAAGCAAGAGAAATAGAAGTTTAAAACATGATAAATCACATCCACATATATGAAGAATCAAACACAAATGTATGGAACTTAACTTATTAGAAGATTGTCAGATTGAAGTTTTAAAAAAAAATCCAACTATATGCTGTTTACCAGAAGCACACCTAAGGATAAGGACACAGAATAGTTGAAAGTAAAAGAATGAGGAAATAGTTACCAGGTAAGTGCCAACCAGAAGAAAGATGGTACAGCTACATTAAAAATGCTAAAATAGACTTTAAGATATAAATCTTTCTTACAGATAAGGAATAACTGCATAACGAAATAAGGTTCAGTTCAATCAAACAATAGAACAGTTCTAAAAGTGTTTTATTTGGCACCTGGCAAAATAGCCTCCATAGATATAACATAAAAATTTAAACAAATACATGAAGAATCTACAAATCCACTGTCTTAGTGGGAGATTTCCACATGCTTCTATTAATTGTTAATACTCTAAACTGATTTTTTCGTTTCTTTTTTTCTTTTCTTTTCTTTTCTTTTTCTTTTTTTTTTTTTTTTGAGACATAGTCTTATTCTGTTACCCAGGCTAGAGTGCCGTGGTGATAATCTAAAGGCAAAAGGCCAGGAATAGTGAGAACCTACTGAAGTAGAAAAATAAGGTGAAGTACCTTATTAGACTTAATATAAAGGTATGATAATTAGGACAATGTGGTATTGGCAAAGGTACAGACAAGTTGACCAGTGGAACAGAATGGGAAGTTAGAAACAATCACACAGAGAGATGAAACTTAGATATATGACAAGTATGGCATTTTAGATCAATGGAAAAGGAGGGATTTCTCAATAAGTGGTTTGTGGGTAATTGGTTATCGATATAGGAAAAAAGTGAAATTAGATACCTGCCTCACACCATGTGTAAAATCAGTATCAGATGCAAAACTTAAAACTTCTAGAATAAAATAAAGGAGACCATCCTTAAGATCTTACAATGTGGAGCAAAAGTAAAAACAAAAGCACAAGTCTCGTAAGTCAATCAAAAAAAGACAATGCAATAGAAAATGATAAATGGTATCAGAAAAGAAGTAACATGCTCAATGTCATTAGTAATCAGGTAAATATAAATGAAGACTATAATGATATTTTACACCCCCTTAGGGAAGAATTAAGACACTTGACAATACTAAGTGTTAGAGAGGATATGAATCAACAGGAACTCTTTGTTTGTGGGAGTGTAAAAAATACCACTTTGGTGTTACTACATAAATCTGAAAATTCACATACCCTGTGACCTAGCAGTTCCACTCCTAGGCATATGTATAACAGGAGCCCTTCCATATGTGCACAAGCAGATGTATGCTAAAGTGTTTGTGGCTGCATTGCTTATAATAGTAATATGCTTGAAATAACCAAAATATCCACTGATGGAGGAATAGAAAAATAAGTTGTGGTATAATTACAAAATGGAGTACCATACAGCAAATAAAATGAATGAATTTCAGCTATACTTAGCAAGGATGAATCGTGGAAATGTGATATTGAATAACAAAAGTAAGTTCCAGGAAACTATTTCAGTAGGATACAATTTTTATAGAACTCAAAAAAAAAAGCAAAATTATCTATGCATATGCACTCAAACATACATATATATGATAAAACTATAAAAAAAAGGAATAGATGAATAATAAGGGAAGGAGCAAGTACATCATTAATGCACATTATTGATAATGTTCATGAATTGAGTAGTAAAGTCACAGGTATTCGTAACTATGTATACATCTATTACAAATATTTTGTGTGTACCAAATAATATAGTAAATGTGAAAAAGTACAGAATAATCATGGTTACAGTAGCATTGATAAAAGGATAGGAAGGAAATACATTATAGCGTTTCTACTTCTCTGGGTTTTAAAATTATTTTTTTGAGGCGAAGTCCACCAAATCACCCAGGCTATTCACAAACTCCTGTGTTCAAGTGATTCTTCCACCTCAGCCTCCCAAGAAGCTGGGACTACAGATGTGTGTCACCACTCCCAGATAATTTTATTTGTATTTTTTAGAGAAGGAGTCTCACTGTCTTTGACAGACTGGTCTTGAACATCTAGCCTTAAGTGATCTTCCTGCCTTAGCCTGCTAAGTAGCTGGGGGTTATAGTCATGCGCCACAGTGCCTGGCAATTTAAAAAAAATTTTTTTTAATAAGATGTGTGACTTTTATAATCAGAAAAAATATTAACCTTGATTTTTATATTAAATAATTTCTTTTTGCTAGACTTTAAATGCTCAGAATAATAGAACTCTGATAATACAGTTGAAAGAAGAAAATTTAAATCTGAAAGGAAAATCAGTCATTTGAGAGTATTAAGATTATTGCTGTTTTTCTCAGCACACTCAATTTTGCTTTTATTCCTTTTTCTCTTTTAAGCTTTGTAAGTATTGTGGATGATTTGGCATTGGATGCCACAGACTATTGATAAGTACAATCACATAACAAGAAAGACAAATAAGAACTATAATGAGTTTCAAAGATATATATATATATTTTTTTTTTTTTGCAATCACACAAGAGGAGGTTTATTTTCTGCCTAGCCAGGGTCCAAGCCCCAGAGCACCAACGCAGTGGCCACTCTCGCAGGCAAGGACCCCGACCGGAACAACGGCATGCCTTTTATCCCCATGGTGCACAAGCTGCGCACTCAAAGATATATTTTTAATTCATTAAGTTTAGTGAATTCTAAGATTGGTTATTCCCTGCTACATGTGATGAAAATTCTTGTTTGTGAAACTGTCATACTAAGGAAAGACACATTAATAAATCCATGTAACAATTTAGCAATAGGAAGTATTTGTAGAATCTAGTAGGCATTTATTTATTTTTTTATTTTTGTGACCATTTGAAGATGGTTTATTGTACCTTATGTTATTAAATATCCCTAGAATTCAGTAAAGTGTCTGTTGACTTGAGATTTCCTGTCATCAACTTAATTTTTTTCAGGGCTATTTTTTCCTAAGAGTGTGAAAACTTTTTTCCTTTTTAGCAGGTTCATGCCATCCAAACAAGCATCATTCAGGAATAGCCAAAACACAAAAGGAAGGAGAAGATGGTTCTTTGTACAGCAAACGGTACAACCAAAGTATGGTTACAGCTGAACTTCAGCGGCTAGCTGAGAAGCAGGCAGCAAGGCAATATTCTCCATCCAGCCACATCAATCTCCTCACTCAACAGGTATGGAATATCTAGGGTGCCAGTGAGCTCTTTAGACCTCACGGTAGGATTAATGACAGGGTACTCTGCCCCCCCCCCATCTTTACTATTTGGTATACTGTTGCCTCTCGAATGAGTATTGGTTGGTTTCAAGCTAAGAACCCAGATGTTCCTCTTTAATTCTAAAGAAAATTACTTTCTGTTACAGGTATTGTGAAGTTAAGTCTGCTACTGGCTATGATGTACCTATTTTATGGATAAACAAACTTTAATATTCATCTGTAAATATAATTTTAAGGGATCTTTAAAAATAACTTCTTTCTTTGGTAATTTTCTAGTGAGTTCTAATCTTATAAATCTTTTTACCAGAATGTCAGAGTGTTATAACATTATCTTTACAGTTTTTTGGTGTTTTTTTTTTTTTACTGTATTTTATGATCTCAGGATATTTTATATAGGTAACTGATTAATGTAGGTATTTCATTATGCCCTTATCCAATACATATTATTCTCCCCATTTTACAGATGGAGGAAACTGAGGCTGAAATAAATGATGTGATCAAGGTCATTCAGCAAACTGGATGGATAGATATCAGGATATTGACTTTAAGTTATGTATAGATGAACAAGTGTACAACACAGTGAAGTTAGATGACACTTTCAAGAATTTTGTGGATTCTCCTTGTTTTTCTTGCTGATTATTCCCAATGGTGTTTAACTGAGGGAAAAGCCCTATTCTTCTCCTCTTCCTTAGTGCGAAATGGCTTCAAAGTGCTCCAAAGGAATTTTTGTAATTTAACTCCACAATTATATTTTACTGTATCTTTGTCATGTCAAATTCCTTAATTGGTGGTTAACTCTGTAATGATAAGTCTAGAAAAAAGTGAAGCTGAAAAATACTTTCAGTACGTGGTAAAAGTAGGCAACACACTGCTCCCTGGTGGTACCCTACTTTTCGGTGTAAAATTTAGGACCAAAACTAAAGGTAAGCCTCTCGTGGGCATAGCTTTACTTCAGCCTCATCCTAGTGTGTGAGGCAGTAATTATTTTCTTTTTCAAATCCCTAGTAGTTTGAAGGAAGTAGATGAGGAGTGCTAATGTGAAATAGGAAGCAAAGAATCTTACAAGGGCAGAGATGAGACTTGAAGGGAGTTTAGTTGAATTTTAGTGAAAAGATGATGGGAAGAGAAATAGGACATAATGATCATAGCAGGATGGGAAGGAATTTTGAAATCTGAAGTGGCTATGAGAAAGGGTAAAAGCCAGTGATTTGCCATGCTTTTATCATTGGGGATCACTGACTAGAATATATGTTGCCAGTTTAAAAATAAACAACTGGAAGCACTAAGACATTAAGAGATTTTGTGATTATAGTAAAAACATAGCCAATATTAGTGCTTGCATAGTTTCACCTCCTATCATTTGCTAGACCATTTACAGGACCACAAAGCCTGTAAAAGGTAAAGATCCTGATCCTATAGGAATCCAAGGTGAATGTGTCCTGACTAGGAAGTCGTCCCCCTTCAGTCCATCTTTCTCATCTATAAAGAACTTCAGTGCCAGTGAATTAAAAGTCCATCAGACTCCTATTCGTTGAGATCTGAACTTGCCATTAGATGTCAGTCTTGACTTTTAGAGTCTTGGTAATAAGGTGGTTAGTGCCTGGTAAAATACTGAGGGTGTATGTAATAAGCAGGGTGGAGGAGTGGAAAAGGTTGGATTAGCCATCCAGAGACTTTTGTTCTTCTGCCACTGACTAGCTGTGCGATCTTGGGCAAGTCACTCAACTTCTCTCAACCTCATGGTCTTCACTCATTAATAGGGTCATGAGGATAGTAGGCAGAACCTCTTTGTAAAGTTTAAATGCCATATATTTGGAAAATATTATTTCAGCCAGAAAAGTCTTACAATAGTAACTGGTTTCTAATTTGATTTGAAAAAAGTAAGATTTTAGATAAAATGTACTTTGTTATTGAAAAGCTCAATTATAGGCTATTCGGCCCCTTCCCTTCAGAGAAAGTAACTCCTTAATCTGGAATTTGGAAAATTCTGTCATTTATTGCTTTTTGGTAAATAACTAATAACATGTTATAATGGTTTGATATAGGCTCTGGTACATTTGTTTCCTAGCAGTTTCCTTTCTTCTCTAGCTATGTTTGAAAGAAAGATGCTGCAGTTTCTTTCTGAGGCAAGTGATACAGTATCTGTGGCTTTGTAGAGAGAAGTTGGACTGCAGACTGCAAGTTGTGGGAGCCCTGCTCTTTTGTCTAGACTTAGAGCACGAAAACTCAAACTTAGCTGTCATCAGAAACAGCTTTGTATCCAGTAATCATTTAAGATGCTTTTGAATTCCTCTTACCTATCATGATTTCCTTATTTTCAATTCCTATTTTGTATTTGTGCTTTCTTTTCTTTTCTTTTTTAATTTTTCAATAAGCTTATTGAATATTCCCACCCCATTTTTATAAGATTAACTCTGAATATGTTTATTCATTCTATTGTTTTATCGTTTTCTAATTTATTGTTTTTTTTCTTGTCTTATCTTTACTAATTCCTTCTTTCTTCTTTCCTTAGCTTTATTTTATTTCTCCCCAATTTCTTGTGTTAGGTGCTTAATTTATTTTCATTCATTCATATTTTTTACTATATTTAAATATGTGAGTTTTTCTCTGAGCATTACTTTAATTATATCCCATAAACTCTGATATATCTTTAATTACTTTTCTAGGCAAGGAGTTAAGAGACCTGCTAAATAAGGAAAGTTGATATTAAATTATTTGAGCTATTTTGAAAGATGAGTGTAGAAAATTGAAATCGTTGAGTATTTCTGAACAACCATTTTATTTTTCCTATAAATTCAACTGCACTACTTAGCCTGTTAAAGCCTTTAATGGCATCTTCTACAAAGCTTTTTATTCCATTGTATTTATGTATTAAAAAACACTTTTCCTAAGCTCTTGAGAGTGTTCCAGGCTCTGATACTAAGACTTGGAGATGATATAAGACATAGTCTTTAGCATGCAATAACTATCTTGTAAGGGTGACAGCCACATAAACATATGATAATAACAGCATGGAGTATGCATGACAGATATTTCTAGGAAATAACAAAACCACTAAAAGGGGTCCCTAACCCAGCTTCTGGATAAGAGTGGTAAAAAGGCCAAAGCATCTTAGAAAAGATTATACCTAAATTGAATCTTAAAGATAGGCAAGTAGGTGGCAGAAGAAGGGTAGGAACACATTCTAGAATAAAAATTAGTATGTGTGTATACAAGCTCTTTAGAGAAGTTGGAGAATCGGGAGTCAGCAGGACATAGCTACCATTAAAGCTGGAAAAGGCAAGGGCTGGTTGGGGAAAGCTTTGAATGCCCTGTGAAGGACATTCCTTTATTTCATAGATAATGGGGAACCCCTGAGACACAATCGTTTTGCCTTTTACCTGGATCCTTCAGGCAGCTGGAAGAAGGATGGATTTGGAGGATGAGGCAATGTCACTCCTTTTTCCTCCCTGCTCACTGGTGAACATACTAAGGAACAGTGAACTAGTCAAATGTAAAGAAGCAAAGTACCTGACAACCCAAAAATTTGTTAATAAAAGTCTGAAGGACCCAGAATTTACATTAGAGATTAGATTCTTAAGGAATTTGTATGGCTAAAAACAGAACCTCATTTACTTTGTAGTTACTGCTATTAATACTACTATATGATTTAACTTTGTTTATAGCCTAGAACACATAAGAATATCAAACTTTTCCTGCCATATGAGCAGTGGCCAGTTACAAAATGTTTGTGCAAGCATGTGTACAGTTGAAATACAAAGAGATATATGTTCTCAACATACGACTATTCAAAAAATACCTTACAAATCTGAGCAGAGTAGGTCAAGTTTAGTTCTTTCCATTGGCACATGAGAGGCTGGTTATCTTTTGGGGATAGGATCTTTTAGAAATTGATTTGTGCATCCCTAAAAGCAGGGTTTTCTAGAAACATTTTGTGCCTGGGATTGGGGTGGGGTTGCTGTGGTGGCCAGGAGGGTGTTGGAGTAGAGCTCCAGTGTGAGGTCTCACTATCTCTGCCTCACTCTGTGATGTGAGGGAGTGCAGTGTAGCCCTTTGTGGTCATTACCATTAATGAACAGAAGAATGTGGTGAATTAGCCCAGCTTTGTGGTGAGGAGTAGGAGGGCAGGAGTCAGAGGGAGCACCGGCTCTCTCCAGCAGGCGAGTGTGAGATTTCAGGACCCGGCTATCATCAGGAGCAGCTCCAGCTCTTCCAGGCTGGGAGTTTAATCAAAGGGATAACAGCAGACCACCCAGGCAGGGGCTCCAAGTGAGCGCATGTGCTGTGTCAGCCTCTGCTCCCCAGCCTGCCAGTGCCCAGGATGTGGCCAGCCCTCCTGGAAATGTGCTGACAGATATGGGGGGAGGAGACACTTTTTGCTCTTCACATTTTTCATTTAGATAGGGAGTAGAAAAGAAACCCATTTGATTTCTTTCTTTGTTGCTCCTTACCCTGAAAATGTTATTAAATATCCTAGAATTCAGTAAGAGTGTCCGTTGACCTTGAGATTTCCTGTCATCAACTTAATTTTTTTCAGGGCTATTTTTCCTAAGAGTGTGAAACTTTTTTCCTTTTTTAGCAGGTTCATGCCATCAAACAAGCATCATTCAGGAATAGCCAAAACACAAAAGGAAGGAGAAGATGGTTTTTGTACAGCAAACGGTACAACCAAAGTAAGGTTACAGCTGAACTTCAGCGGCTAGCTGAGAAGCAGGCAGCAAGGCAATATCTCCATCCAGCCACATCAATCATCCTCACTCAACAGGTATGGAATATCTAGGGTGCCATGAGCTCTTTAGACCTCACGTAGGATTAATGAACAGGGTACTCTGCCCCGCCCCATCTTTACTATTTGGTATACCTGTTGCTCTCGAAATGAGTATTGGTTGGTTTCAAGCTAAGAACCCCAGATGTTCCTCTTTAAGTCTAAAGAAAATTACTTTCTGTTACAGGTATTGT